TTCTACAAAGCGACAAGTAGATAGTATGTTTTTATCCATCTGTAATAAAATGTGTGTCCTTGTGTCGGACACTAGAGGTTTCGTCTGTTTATTACAAATCTACAAACACCATAAACATACACTTCTGTTAAACGATCAAACTGTTAGTTATTTGACATATAAAACACAGCAGGTGCACTTGATTGGACTAAGTTACCCCCCTCAAGTCAGACGATCCTCGCCAACACCGATTTGACGACAATGTCACAATCCAACATGGCAGTGCAGTGCATCAACAGTAAAGAGAATGTTTGCCGTCTGCCTCCTCGCTGCGTGAAGCCACCGCAAGAACAGCACCCTCTGGTGACGGGCTGCAGTATAGGTCATAAATCCCGCCTCCTCCAGCAATCCCTATGGAACTGTGGACAAACTTTAGAAATTTACGCTGTTTGAGCCGAGTGTCATCACAGCAACTCTCCCACCGAATGCGTACAATGCTACTGTGTAAGTGTTGGTTCCAGGAAGTGGAGAAAATCTTGGAAATACCGTGAGCGATTCGGCTTCAAATCTGTTTAATGACAGAAGGTGGAGACAAGTTGTCCAATATGTATACAGTCTATGTTCACAACACAGTTGCCAAATCACTCTATGTATCACAATCCATAAACATCAGTAATCAAAACAACCATGGAAACTAACATCCTTTTCCCATAATTCTCAACAGATGCATTATAACGATAAATCCAACACGGCTCCATAAAATGTGATATTTACAGATAATTATACCTGTCATTGCAGAGGGTTGGCGTTGATTCACTGCACTTGATTATATGTAATGTTGGATTTTGTTTTTAGTTTTTAGAGTTTTTTTGCAAAGTTAGCAGTCAGTTTGGCCAGCTGAAAAAAACTGTTAAGACCTAAAGAAAGAATAAACTCAAATCTGTGTTTTTAACAGTGATTAGATATATGACATACTCTGCAGCGTTGGGTAATAATTATTCTCTCGCCTTTAAATGGGTCGATGGCCTTTGTGAGCAGTATTGCCAGATGTGCCCCACATAGCCTTTTGTACAGTTAAAGAGGGCAGCGCTTTATTTATTGTTGCTAAGCAACTGAATCACCCACGCAGACAGAAATCAATAGGCCTAATATCCTACAACTGAAGATGGAGGAGACAAGTTTATAAGCTTTTATAACATGGAGGCTTATAAACTTTATAACGCCATGAAGTTATTGACCTTATTAGGTATGTTGTAAAGTTTTTATTCGCTCATGAAACGAAACAAGAAATATTTTCTGATTCAAGGAATTTTCAGACTTTTCTTATCCTGTGTGAATGTTTCACAAAAAAATATAGATGTCAGGAGATGGTTCACGAATTTTACACCAACAGTGCTCAGGTGATTTCTACAAATGCTCTTGACAGCAAAGAGACTTGGGAAAACGCTAACGTCATTACTTCAACTTGACGCAGGTTTACCCTCCAAACAAAATTTCATTTCTTTATCTACTTTTTTAAAAAATGTTTTATGATGGTATTTAAACCCCCTGGACAGAGCCTGCCGATGGATACTGAGCAGAGAAGTAAGTCTTGTTTGTGAAATCCGGCAATCAGAATGAGCATCTGTTATTTCACGGTTGTTGTTCGCCACTCTGCTTCACCGTTGAAACAATATGGAGGTAACATCACATCAGCTCTATGTGAAACAGGACACATCTGCCCTAAAATCAGTCATTCCCTCTTATTAGTGCAGCAGTAGAATCTCAGTTCAGCAGAGTATGTCCGACTTGTTTCATCAGACTGACAGAAGAGTTGGTCAAGCTTCAAAGACTCAGCGAGAGAGGAAGAGCTCTCATTTGAAACGTGGAGCAGCTGCTCTGTTGTCCAGCTCTGCTTTTGACGGGTGATATTATCATTCAAGCATGGGAGACACGGTATGACGGCGAGGAACAGCGGTGCATCAATCTCCCCATCTTTTATCCTCAGTTTGAGCAGGATACCAAAGAGCTGCTGCAATCTGATGTGCCATTATCCACATCTGACACCCCGCTGGATAAAACTTTACAACTTTCTGACATTTAACTTGTGACTTTCTCCCCGCTGCTCTCAAACCTGTAGGCGAACTTCAACTTCCTTCTGCATAGTTATCAGATAACACTGAAAGGTCATCAGAGAAGTTCATGTTCGTCGTCTGCTGATGTGATAAAGGTTAATAAATAAAGCAGGAAGGTGCTCAGGTGGAGGTAGCTCTCCTAGGGTGTCTGTTTTGCATTTCAATTATGCACTTTCACTTTCTGAGAGACAGCTTTCAACTTACATGAGCTTTTCATTGCCTTTCGAGTGCCCAATTAGTCGTGTGATGTTTGGTGCGGGCAGCAGGGAGCTTCCTCGAGGACTCATTTATTTGTGGCAGGCCTGCACTGTTGACTGACTCTGAGGTTCACGGTTGAAGACCCCGGTTAATTGCATATTTGGATGAGGAAGTGAGGGCAGAGGGGCACTGAGAGAGATAAAATTGTTTTTCCAGATGATGATCTTGGACACAGTGAGGTCCCCGGGGTCCAGACCTCGACAACTTTTCTCCGGTAGCTGTTGTTCCAACTTTATTGCCATATATTTTTTGGGTGTTTCCCAGTGGAAATAAGTCGATCTCCTGTTATAAAACTGTCAAAAACAAACGAAGAAATTAAAGGGAAAATATTTCTAAACAGTCATACAGATGCATAAGAAACATTGTAAGGGTCAAAGTTGATAATATAATATATAATATTGATGATGATGATGATGGATAATAGCAGCAATGAAAGGGAGTAATGCTAGTAATATGGCACGGCCAGCACTGATCAACAGATGCTCTCTAAAGTGAAGCTGAAAATTGTTATCATGTTGTCTCTCCTAAAAAAAAACAACAGTGAACAAACAGAAAAGAGAAATGAAATTTTGGGGGACAGGATTTAGTATCATTGCCACTCACACTGTAGCACACCCCTGATGAGAAAGTTAAAGGTTCAGTCGGAAACCCTAAAGGTAGGGTTGGTAATCTGATTTAGATACTCTTCTTGTTGTTCTGGTTAAAATGATCTTTTTGTTCGGATGGCCATCAATACATGACATGTTTTTTAAAAAGAGCGAAACATAGTCACTATCTACAGCAGGAGTAAACCCAGGAAAACACCGACCAATCACATAATTTGGATCCCACATTTTTAAACCAATCAAATCCTGTGCTCGCTTCCTAGGCGTACATGTTGCCAGCGTGCACTGGCCCTGATTAAACATAGCTGAACTGAGCTGGAGAATGGCAGAGAAACTACCTATACCCAGACTAATGGTGACCGCTCCTTCTGCAAAAAAGAGCAAAAAAATAAAGACGGAGGCAGAGAAGGCGGAAGCGAGACAGAGTTTAGAGAAAGCAAAGGTCAAAACGAAAGTCAACATTGGAACAGCTTTTTTTTCAGCGATGGAGAGAACTGAAAGAGGTCTAGAGAACTGAAAGAGGTCAAGGGCTTTGAAAGTGATGCCATGGTCGCTCATTTTGTTTCAAGGCGATTTTTAATCTTGATCAAGTATTTAGTCATCTAGCTAGTTATGTGGACATGCTAACGTTACCATCTTTGTCTCTGCTGTGCAAAGACTTCTCAATCTGAAATCCCAAAGTTTTGAGTCTCTGGTATTAAATCAGCAGACAGCAGCGTTCGCTCCAAGGGGAGGGAGGAGCAGCTAGACCAAGTCCTGAGGAGATGCCACATTCAAATGAATGTTAGTGTGCTGTGATTACCAACCCTACCTGTAAGACCTTAACCAAATGTGAATGCCTCTGATTCTCCAAAGTCTATCACCCTCCTGAGGAGCCATTAGTTTTCATCTGATGGCTGAGTAGAAGGCAAGAGAAGGTTTATCATAACTGTACAGAGCTCTTCGGATGCCAGGTCAGGAAATAAACAAATCCACATGCAAGTCTATTTGAGGTTTGTGCAAATAGACGGCTAATCGACACTAACAAGTAGATTTGTACACCATGCACAGATGACATTATGATATTTATCATCATTTCTATGGTGACCACATTAGCCAAGCATTTATCATATTTGTCCATAAGTAAAGTTTGATAAGACACGAATGGAGATCGTTTTTTCTTCACGTAAAGAGCTCCATAACCAGGAATCTGTGCATACAGATTATAAACTGTAACTCGTGAATGTGGGCTGGAACATACCTGTAACACGTCAATCAATTAGCACACATATTCACGTTAGCTCCCTAACTGTCTGCACTGGTACAAAACAAAGCCACAAGCTCACAAACTAGAGCTCACAAATAGCTGCAATAATGACTGGGAAAGGAGCTGGTGGAGGGCAAATGCCAGAGTGGGTATTATGAAATTTGCCTGTTTTTACTCAACTTAATTTGCAGAATTATTGGGAATTAAATCTCTGTTAAAATTATTTTGTAACTTGTCAAAGAATTTCTTGCATCCACCAAAATATGATATTGATATTTCTTTGGTTCGCAGCTGTTCTAGTCTTGATGCTCAGCTGCAGGGCTCAGCTGTGTCACTGATAATTGCTGAGTTTTAACTTGATGAGTTTATGAGGACCAGTGATTCATTCATGCCAGAAAAACTTTGACCACATAAAAAAAACAAACAAAAAAAAAAACATCTGTGATTACAAATTCCCTCTAAACCTGCCCTCAGAGTTTTAATGGAAAAATATCACACTGCTGTCTGGGCCATCAGGTGGTTTCATCCCTTTTTCAATTTACTGCCTCAGAAGTTTTCATAGCATGCAAGATTATACAAAGGTGTGATGATGGCTGTCTGAAATTAGAGGCGCAGATCAATATCCTGAGACTCTGCAGGGGTTGGTCTGCAGCTTCAAACCTGTAAACATCTAAAGTTCACATCTGAAACAGCCTTTCTCCTTGTTACTGCAAACCCTGCATGCAAACCACAAAGGTGTATGAGTTTGTCTGCTTTGCATTAATAAAAACGAGTAAACAGTGAAGAGTCTTTTGTTAAGCATGTTTCAGTTTTCCTTGCGAGAAAGGGTTATGCAGAAATTGTGCATATAATCCAACAGAATTACTGTGGGTTTGCAGTTATAGTCTAAATTCAGCCAGTTTTATTCATTTTTTGTTGTTCTTGCCTCTGGGAAGATGTGTTTTCTGTCAACTTGGATTCCAAACTTCCTGAGTAACATGAGCCTGTGCCTCCAGGAGATACCTGGCTGGAAAACTGCTGAGGTGGATACTCTTCACACCCTGAGATGTCTCAGAACTCGTCCTTTCGCCTCCGTAGCTTCCCGACATTCTAATTGGCATTGCCTCAAGGATAAGTTGGACTCTTTTCGCCTCCTTCTTCTTTGTCTCTCCATCAAAAACAAGCATTTCCCCCCTCGGAGCATAGAAGTATAAAAAAGTAATGAGGTGTGAAAACACATAAATCAGAATTAGCTCTCTTGTGTTCCTGCGATGAATGCTGGGATCTGATCGAGCAGCCAGCTGTAGACTTTGACAAAGTACTGCGAAGACTCGTGGGCTTCCAGAGGACGGCATTGTTATCAAAAGTTGTTCTGGGAGGCTAATCCAAGCACTGCTCTCCTCCACATGACACTTAAAAACACGAGCGAGGCAGCCAGCCGAAACATATCGGAGGTCACGGTGCCCGTCGGCTGTCATCACAACGCCTGGAGGCAGAAATAACCCGCTGAGAGCAGAAACAGAGGGATAACAAGGAGAGGAGGAGCAGAGGGTTTAGACGGGGCAAAAAACAAGCAACTGAAAAGTTTGTGTCTTATTTTTAACCCCAATTTACAGATGCACCAGGCAGATTTTGCAAATAAACCTCCATTTGCAGGCTTTATTTATCTATTTTTTTTTACCACACTCACTGCTCAGGCTTTCAGTTTTATCCTTTTAGACCAAACCTGAAACTCCTGCAGCTTTATTTTACAACCTTTGAACAAACGTCCTCCAAACATTGAATGGGTTTTTAACAGACTGGTGTTGAAGACAAATAGTATTGGTTGTGCTGTAGATTTTCGAATGACTGATGTTTCTGTCAGAAGAATATAAAACTGAGATATTCCACACATCATAGCAGAGTTGATATTAACAGCAGCCAGTGACTGTCTCAGATTGGATTTGCTGTCAAACTGTGTTGTGCTGACAGATTAATGAGTCTATCTCCCTCCATGATCTTTGGGGCCAGCTCAGGTCAAAGTCTGTGAGTCTGAACATCCTCTACAGGAGGCTCCTCCCAGTATTTTCTGTAAAGATCTGATCTGTGAGGATGAGGTCTCGAAGTGTGAGACTAAACAAGAGCACTGTGCTAGTTAATCTGGAGGCACATTTTGCAAATTTGCGAACACATGCCTGAGGGTTAAAAACTGTATGCAGGGATTGGCACATGCCTCCTTTGTTAATTGAACTCTGACCTTTGCAGGAAGTGCAAAGTGACGCGCTGCATATTTATGTAGGAAGGAGGTTGTTTTTACTCTAGTTTTGTATCTGTCACCTGTTGGAGCATCATCACTTTTTTTTTTTTACTTCCACACAGATTCTGTGTGTATTATCATTATTACTATTATTTCATTTGGAGTCACTCTTTTTCAACTTCTCAGCCCAGATTGCATCTACATAAGAGTTTCACATTCTACAGAGGGAGATGTAGGAGGACTTCTTTGTCGCCAGCTGTCACTTTGAATTGTAGTATCAAGGCTCCTTTAATGCTGGTTTCCTACTACCATCATTCACAAGCTTAATGCCGGGATTCCACCGCATGCAGATCCGCTCGGCTCCGCTCCACTCCGGAATGGCAGGCGAATCAAAAATGAAAGCATACAGCGCCAATCGGATCCGATCCGCTGCCGCAAGCAGAGGAGAAGCACTTGCGATCTCATGAGAACTGGTGTGTTTCACCGTGAGACATTAAATGAGATTGGCGGCGTATATAAACACCCACATCCCACAACCCTACCCCCTCCCATTATCACGTTAAGAACAGTTCAACGTATTAACTTTATTTTATTTCGAAAATTAACTAAATATTGTACTCTGTAACTCACCCTGATCAGCTAACGTGGAACCAGAAACTCTTGAGTTTCCCTAAATTAACTCAGAGTTCAAGGTCAGACTCCGGTCTGTTGAACCCCCTTTCTAAAATGGAGCCCAGGACTTCCTGCCAGCTGCCTGCACCCTATCCTCTCCTCTACATTGTACAGTTTCTTTTGCTAATTCTCAATCGCACTTAAAAAGCATTAACCGTGGTGCATAATGATAATGACCGATATTATATGATGCATACTCGTCTACTAATCTACTGTAACCAGAGCTCCTGTATGGGGCTTATAAAGGCTGGACAGGGGCAAACAGCTTGACTCCGCGCAAGTGGGATTTTTACTCACTGCTTCAGCACTTATGAGAAACAGCTTTTCCAACACTCGCCCCGCTGCCCCCCCTTGAGGCTCAGGTTCTCCAGCCTTTCCAGCTTGTGTCTCAAATGGGAATTCCTCCTCTTTAGCCCCGGGGCTCACATACGAATACGAGAAAAGCGTTCCCTTCTCATGACTGGTAAATACAGTTTTGTGTCATCAGGAGAGAAATGTGTGTGGAGAGGACGGGGCGATCACCCACAGGTCTCTAAAATGACAATTTCTGAGCCTTCAGGTTTGGTTACAGCTCACCACCATCATTTCTGCAGCCATTAAATTCAATTTGAGGCTGAATCCAAACACAACCCTCTGGCTTCTCGTGGTATGCACTCGTATGTATACAGAGAGTCATCGACGACTGCGTTTAAAGCACATTAAGATAATAGCAGATAGTGAGTCTAATGGAAACCTTAGCGGAAATCATTCTTATGATGCCTATATCTGATATTTCTGTACGTCTTCATTAAGATACTGCAATTTCACTCATACATGCAAGATGGTTTTCATATCATAATCATGGATATCAGAAATATTACAATATCACATCAGGAGTTTCCAGAATAAATGAAACATTTCAGCGTCTGCATGAAAGCCTACTTAAGGAATAAAAACAGCACGCTCTTCATTCTTACAGTATATACAGATATTTTTAACTTAGTTTTTTTCCTCTATGTCCCCCTCTATAAAACCAGACAATCAGCAGTACAAGGACCTGCAGAAACATCACCCACTCATGCTGCCAGTCCTTTCCTCAGGTTGATGGTTTTGTCGGCAATAATATCCTAACTCTCAAATCTGCCCCTGCTTTTCACAATACTTTCTAAAAGTAAATAAGTTAAGGTTCTAGTATCAGCATTTCCAAAAACTTTTTTTCCTCCACAACCCTGCTTGAATACAGACACAACATTGTTTGAGATTCTTCATTTGAGGAGGTGTTTTCCAAAACTATGTCTGTCAGTGTGCTCAGACTTCATTTGCATGAGTACATCAGGCCAAAACTTCAAGAAAAAGTGTCATGTACGGTACACTATACAAAGGAAAAGGACCCAGAAATGCAGAACTAAAGGATTTTTTAAAGCAAAAGCAAAAAGTAGAAGTCCAACTAAAACTTACTCTTCAAATGTCCAAACAAATCCAAAAGTCCAAAAAACACAAGAACTAAAATTTAAAGAATCAAAAGGGCACTGGGAAAAAAAAACCCCAAGGAGACAACTGGGGACACAAGTAAACACACACAATGAACCAATAAAGATACAGGGAAAGAGAGGGACTATATACACACTGAGAAACGAGCGACAGGTGAGACAGACGAGACACAGGTGAAACTCATGCATGATTAAAAAAAGAGGAAAAAGTGGGGAAGTAAAACCAGACTTGAAACACAAGGAATCAACTCCTACAAAATAAAACAGGAAATAATCACTGAGAATTGATCTAAAGAATAAAACACAGAGAACAGGAGGGGAACACGATCAAACACAAACTGAAAACTTACAAGACTGGACTACAGGGGAACAGGAACACTAGGAAAAAACACAGAAAATACAAACAAAACCAGGGAAGAACTAAATTAGCAGAACATATCGTGACAAAAGCACTGTTTTCATAAATATTCACAGATCCTTAGCGATAACCCATGACAGATGATAGTTTTATGGAAAAGTTTGGACAAAGTGGAACGTTTGTGCAGCCCAAATGCAGTAAAGAAAACACCTACATTCCCAGCTTCTCTGAGAGTAGTGGGTCCTATATGTCTTCGACTGAAGGTCTGCTGTTGTGGGGCATCTGCACACCCCCTAAAAGTGTAAAATCTCTATTGATTTATATTCACTACAAGACATTTTGCTCTGTCCTTGGCATTGTTCTCTACTCAAGGCTACATGAGGACTATTGAATCTTCCTTGTGCCTTTGTCCCTATCCAGCCAATTTAGCATTGTGGCTGCAGCGTGCCGTGAAAGCATTGTCTGCAGGCACACTCTCAGGTGGATTGATTTACGGGCCTCTGCCTCTACAATCTCATCCAGCTGTCATGAGGAATGAAACATAGAAATCACACACAACAATGGAAATTAGCTTTCCTTTATCACATTCAGCATCTGCAGGGGCCAGCGGGTCAATTTATGATCTGAACAAGGGGTCTTTGGACATGGGGATATATTTTACTACAAATCATATGTGGTTAAAAATGGAAAAACCTGCTTCTGTAAGTTTTCTGTGTATCATCAGATAGTGGACTTCCTGTCTACTGAACAAAACTTGCACCTACAGCACATTCAACCCAACATCATCTCTGTCATCAATAATCTGGTTTGGAGTTGGCTAGAAAAAATGGAGCCAATTACTTTGATGGAAAGAAAACACTGCAGGCCTGAAGTGCATTTTTTGTCTGAGAAATATTCAATAAAGTTAATTAATGGCTGAAATGAAATGACTTAATATTTCAGTCTCTCCTCTGACCCCCCTCTACCTTCAAGCTTTTCCCTCTTCCCAATTTCAGAAGCAGTTTGTGTTGCAATTTGGTGTAATATATTCATTTACAGAAGTCAATAGTGAAATGGAAGCTCTAATTTACAGCTGCAATCTCTTTGCAGGAGCACTCTATTTCTTCATTCCTGTGTAATTGCAACCAATAATGCAAGCTCGTTTTAATGAATGCAATGTTATTCTGTGTTAGATTTTTTTCCAGACTTACAATATGAGGTAATATTGTTTCCTCACTTTTACAGAAAACCCCAAAATAGAGGAAGAGTACAGGCGTATAGTTCCTTTTAAACTTGGATAAATTGAATTCCAACTTCATCCAGTAGAGTCAGAAGATCTTCCATCAATCCATCTTCTACTGCTTCACCAGAGTCCACTTCGTCCAGCTCTTCCTGGGGAACCATGAGGGGTTCAGGCCAGCTGAGAGATGCAGGAAATATGATGCAATCCAGCGGCTCAAATTCATGCTCTGAAAAAGTGACTGGGGAGGGGCTGTCCTTCATCAGCTCCTCACATCTCTTCCCTGGGCGATATGCACAGCGCTGATGGGTTGTAGAAACATAATTACAGCCCTGATGCATACACTTAAACTCTCCTCCTCAGACTTAACAAGTTCACTCTTTTAAGACGCCCACTGCTTCTGAGGGATGATTTACATACTGCGACTCTCCACAGCAGATTGTTAGATGTTTTTTCTATAATGTGAGTCTTTCATCTGGTGTTTTATTCTCTTGGAGCTTTATAGGTTTTTTTCATTACTCTTTTGCAGGTTTATGTGAAAATAGAAATGTGCAATAGCTACTCTAATGCAATCAAATCTTGTCAATGCCAGCTGCTGCTGGACTGCTGATGGAGATAGCCACCGAGGAGCTTCACTGAGAAGGTGCAGAGGTTTCACTTATCTCCCTCTAGGCAGGTGATGGGATCTTTCACCAGGTTCCCACCTGAAAACATCTCATCCTGAGTCGATTGGTAAGCCTGACACGGCACTGCAGCAGATCTGACCTCTGTCTTTTACTGTTTTCGCTCCCTTACTTCACAGACATGTGGTTGTGTCTATCTTAGCTGGCCATGCACAGCCAGTCAACTCCTCCTGAATGCTGAATCCCTTTTTTTCCTCCAAACTTTCCACTCAAAATTGTTGAAGTCGGACATACATAAAAAATGTCGAGCTTTTAATTTTTTTTTTTACTTTTTTTTACTATTAAAGCTGTTGACAGTAAGAGGTGTTGTACATCTCTTTTTACTGACCTTTGCGGAGTCTTGGATCCTTTGCGAAGTCTTGGATCATGTTCACCACACCGGTATCTTAAACCTGCTAGGTTCTCTGAGCTCATAGTTTTTTGAATGGTTTGCCAATCACAACAAAAGCTCTAAGAGTGAAGGTAGTACCTCAAAGGTGCTACGATTTCATAACAGGGTACCACAAGGCTTGGTTCTGGGTCCCCTATTATTTACTTTTTGCGTAAAATGTCTTGGATTGGATGCCCCAATTCACCTCTATGCTGATGATGCTGTTATTTATTGATGTGCACTTACACCTGCTGAATCTACACTGTGTATTTGATTTAGTGAGGGATTATCTTTGTCAGCTTCAGCTTACTCTAAATTAAGAATAAACTAAACTTGTGTTTTTACATCTTTAGAGCAGCAAAAACAGCCTTGTGAATCCTGGATATGCTTTATGAAAAGATTTTTGGTTTATTTGGGGGTTTTATACAAGTCAATATTATTAAATCCTTTAGTTCTGAAGGAAAATGTTGACTGAGAGTATTTATGAATACTTGAGCTTGGTTAGATTCAGTATTGATGGGTAATTCAGCTTTAGATTAAGTCCAGTTCTATATTATTTGATGTAAATACAAGGATGGATAAGACATACTGGGGGAGATGGAGACACCCTGCAGCAAAGGTCAGAGTTCAATCAGAGGTTTGGATACATTTTCTACATTTTTACCTCCCTGCTTGTTGAAATCTCTCGATTTTCCCCCTTTGGGGTTCTCCTCTAACTCTATTTCCTCCGCTCTTGATAGCCTCTGCCTCTGTGGAAAGACCTTTTAAGGAAGGGGAACAGTCACTCTGCTCCTGACTGACTCAAAGGTCACCTGCTGCCTGAAGGCAACAGAAAATGATTTGTTACTGGAGGGACACCAGTCTGGATCTCTGGACCAGTTGGTAAGAGGGGGGTGGATGTATAGGGCGCTTTCTGTGATTAAATACTGTGCAACATTGGCTGCAATAGGGGGGCTTCAGGGAAATGAGGTTGAAAATTGCTGGAGTAGATGGGTCGATTTAGACCTCAGTATAGGGTTTGGACAGAGTCATTTATGTGCTATATGGTCCTGGTAAAAGACATGATTAGATGTGGGTGATTGGACTGGTTTGGGGGCGTGGTCCTGCCCTGAAACTGATGTTTGAATAACTTCATTAAGACACAGACCTTGTAAATTATGGCTTATGTGTATGCATTTCATGTTATCCCATTATTAAACAATCTGATCAGGTTTTTCTCAGAGCATGCGGGCCCTTTGTAGACCAGGCTTTTAGAGCTAATGTGTTTGGGTCTAAAACGCTGCATAATTTCATGGTAACAAGACAAATGGGTGCTTTTTATTAGTGTTTGGCTGAAATATGATAAACGCCATCCATACTTTCAACTCTCTTGTTTATGCAAAACTAGCACCAGTTTAATCAAGTGCTGAACATGTTACTATATCTGAACCTAAGCCTATATAAATGCACTAAGGTCTATGCAAATAGGTTTGCTCAAGCAAAGAACCTGCTATGTATGCATGCCTTTGAAGTGTGTGTACAGCACACCCAGAGGGCATACCTCTAACTAAAGAGACCATGCATATTCAATCCATGAACTCCTGAAATTAAGTGAGGGAATATTGTGAGCCAAAGGCTACAGATGGAGAACAGCAGGGGGGCTGTAAGTGTTGACCCTGATCGCTCTGCCAAAGTCACAGCAGCTGTGAGTATACGTTCATGTTTGCATGCAGAAATGAATAAACACTGCAGTTTTTAATGCTTTCCCACAGCAGAGGATGTGTGTTTATTTGGCAGGTAGGGCATCAGAGGGCGATCATATAAAGAAAAGGATTGTGTTTGCTCTGTCTGCGCTTTTCAGAGGCAGCACACCTGATGGGGATTTCTCTCTGATGACGACACACAGCTTTGAAGTCTGACAGTTTGATGTTGGGGTACTCTAAAGCTTGCTGAGGCAGAACAGAGAGAGTCTGTGCTCATCCTATCATGGTGAACTCCCTCCCGTCTATCTAGTAAAGACACAGGCAGAACCAGCTCAGTAATTGGGGCAAAAATAGGTTTCCCTCTAAGTGCTTTACACCCCTCCGAGCCACGTATCCCTCCTAATTTAACCCTGCCAAAAAATCCTCAGTGCAGAGCTGACCAAAATAATCCAATCAGGCCTTTTTCCATGGTTTTCATTTGCTGTTAATTGCCTTGCCAGAGCTTGGAGGTCACTCGCTGCGGCGCAGAGCAGGCCAAGGGCGCTGCCGACTACATCTCCATAATGGCCTTGATTCCCAACAGGATTACCAACGACGACACCTCCACACTCTGTATGCCTGTGAAGCCATTACCCTCACTCTAACAGCGGGGCCTGCAGCACATCAAATGCTGTTATTGCTCCACTCTCTGGCTGTTTAGCACCACTTGGTAAATGCTGTTT